GCATGGGGGTTGAAAATCATGTTGCATATATGGGTGGTCACTTGGCTAACTGGAAAACTAACCACAATGCTCAATAACAATCTCTCCTCCTTCTCCTTTCTTATACCAAAATCGGTTTCAGAAGTAGAAAATTGTTTAAAAGATATAGCTCTTAGGTTATAGGCAAGTAGTTCCAATACTTGAGCCTTTGCAGTATACAAAAGTCGATCATAACTTGAGCCACCAAGTAGTCCTATTATATGTCCATATCCGGTACAAAATCAATCAGATTCTCTAACAAATGGATCTGTCTTACGAATATCAACCCACAGCTGAAGAAAAATATATTTTATTCTTAAAAGATCATAAAAGTCCTAACATTTCCTCTTCGTCCTCAGTAGAAAAGACTTTTAATTTAATCAGATGATTAAATAAATGGATCTATCTCTTGAATAGAAAGAACGACAAATCCACTAGAATATGAAATATGAACGATTGGGCTTCTCGTGAACCCTATAAACATTTTCTTCTAGATTGTCCTTAAATACCAATGTTATTCGAATAATTCGAAATAACAATACTGAGACATTGCTCCTCGATAGAAGAATATTGTCAATGGGAACGTTAGAGCAAACTTCCATTGGAACCCGCTGGTACACTGGTAAATAAATTATTACTCTTTTCTAAACTAGGAGATAGAATGGGACATTAAAAACCCAGCAACCAAGATATAGTGCCTTCTAACTAATTACAAGTCTAGTTTGCAGACGGAAGTCCACTCTATCATGGAATGTGTAAAATTAATTGGATTAAATAAGGCGTCATATTTTCCGGTAGCAAGAAGACAATGAGTTATGTCTGAGACACTATTGGACTTGAAGGGAGCCATAACAACTTACTCTTCCTGGAGTAAGCTGTGCGACATATGGGGGATAATCGGCAATGAAAGAGTGAAAGCATATACTTGATATAAAGATAGGGAATTGAAAACAGTTTAACGAAACAATAGCGGACTTCATGAACAATAAATCTCACACGGCTGCTTGGAATATAATCCTGAGTATGATCACTAAGATCATATGGAGAAGAGAGAAGAACGAAAAGCCTCCTCATGATGAACTAGTCCGAGCACAACTACATAAAGTTGGACGAACGAATTCAGACGATTGCAGAGCATGTAGAGTGAATAATTAAACTCTTTCATTAACATCAAAATTCTTTTGAGAAATTAGATCCAAATATTTGCATATACTATATTAACATTCCTGAAGAACATTGAGTTTTAAGAAACTACATCCAGAAAAATAAGTTTGGAAAAAATCATATAAAAGGGAAAACACGTACCTCTGCCGATCTCTTGACCAAACAATTCGACAGTTAGTCTTCTGGGGTCTAGAAGTCTAACCGTATCGACCATGCGTCCATTTAGTGGAACACTATTTATATTCCAGAAAACACCGATTACTGCTCCCCCATGCTCCTTCCTCACAAATGAGGTTCTGGAACTCATACTATCAAAGCAGTTCCTATTGGAATGTCATTGGAGGGTCCATCCGAACCACCATCTAACGGCAGATATATGAGCTATAAAATCTCTTGACGAGATGACGAACCATTCGCGCCTAGAGTGCTCTGTGTCCCAAGTCATTTCAATTTATCGGGAAATATTGAAGCGGAGGAACTGGCAAAAGGTGGTTTCAGCCTTTACGCAGGTGAAAATGGTGTCCCATTTTCATGCTGCAAATCTCTAATCCAAAATGAACTTTATATGTATCTCTTCTCAGACAGATGGTAATCCCCGACCTACTGCTCGATATCAAGAATGAACTGGTTTAATGAGGCTTTCTAGAATGTGACTATTGAAGTATCCATTCTGATGGCGCTCTGCATTATGGGTGATCATGCTAGAGGACTGAATCTTCCATATAATAACTACTGCAGGAGTTACCACAATGAGAACGATGAGGAAACTGCTGAACACTTTTTCTCTGCCCAGCTTTGAAGAAGGGTCTGAGTTTCTGAGCACTGCGATACTATATGAACTAGAGGCTCTTTCTAGTATAAATTCGTGTACCATAGAGTCGTTTATTCGTGTCTCTGGTTGGTTTGATTCCACGTTGAACTCGGGCTTGGAATGTCTTATAGATATCTAGTCTAGGTGCAGGAACTGTCACAACGAGAACGATGAGGAAACTGCTGAACACTTTCTTTATCTCTGCCCAGCTTTGAAGAAGGGTCTAAGTTTCTGGGCACTGCGATACTATATGAACTAGAGGCTCTTTCTAGTATAAATTCGTATAACATAGAGTCGTTTATTCGTGTCTCTGCTTGGTTCGATTCCACGTTGGGCTTGGAATGTCTTATAGTTGGTTGGGGGTAGGACAACACAACGCGACCATCATGTGGACCCAAATGAGACGATAACTGGTCGGTCCAATCATTCAATTTGGCGAATATAAATCCACAGACGGTCACTGGTCGGTTCAATCGTTCAATTTGGAAAATATAAATCGGTAATCAGAGATCTATTTATGAAATAATGATATATGTAGCGCAATCGAAAGCGCTGCTACATAATAGGAATAAAAACCTAAACAACATCTGGCAACTCTAATAACTCTATTATAAAGTACTGCTATACTTAAACATTATCATGATCGTCATCAAACATCATAATCACCATCATTATTATCATCATCAGCGTCAAGTAGTACAATACTCGAATACGAGTAAATAAATAAATAAAAAGTTGGAACGACCTTACCAAATACGTATGAAGATCGTAAAATCTACTATATGTTTGTAACTGTGTGTGTGTGTATTCATGAGTATCTAACTACTCGTTTGTTACGTACGTATCGTATTTTTTACTACGTCACTAAAGTACTAGATATAAACGAGCATACGCTATACGTACTCACTCACAATTCGTACAGTAGTAAGTTGATTTCTTATTATTATTATTGTAATTTTTTGTTGTTGTTATAAATGTACATACACATTGCTCGTTTAATTAAATTTTTTTCTTGTCATTTCATATTTCTTTTATTTTTGTATTCCTGTGTTAAACACACACGCACACAACTCGTTCTAACGAATAAATACATGTTATTTGTATCTGGCAAATACGTTTTGAAGTTATTGTTTATAGAGTCCAACTCTCTCGGTTAGTGAAAAAGAGTATGTTCCAGGCATGGAAAATTCAGTACTTTTGTACTTTTTTCAGTACTTTTTGATATCGAAAAATAACACACATTTTCGCTATTTTTTCTAAATTATAAAACCTTTGATAAATAGAATACATAATAGCAAATAGTTTAGTCCTTTAGTGATATAGTCTACTGGAGACTATAATCTAGTCTATAGTCTAGTCTATAGTCTAGTCTAGTAGGTCTAGTCAGTACTAGTCTAATAGTCTAGTCGATAGTCTAGTCTATAGTCTAGTCTATAGTCTAGTCTAGTAGTCTAGTCCTAGTAGTCTAGTCTATAGTCCTAGTCTATAGTCTAGCTATGGTCTAGTCTATAGTCTAGTCTATGAGTCTAGTCTATAGTCTAGTCCTATAGTCTAGTCTAGTCTAGTCTATAGTCTAGTCTATAGTCTAGTCTATAGTCTAGTCTATAGTCTAGTCTATAGTCTAGTCTATAGTCTAGTCTATAGTCTAGTCTAGTCTATAGTCTAGTCTATAGTCTAGTCTATAGTCTAGTCTAGTCTAGTCTATAGTCTAGTCTAGTCTAGTCTAGTCTAGTCTATAGTCTAGTCTAGTCTATAGTCTAGTCTAGTCTATAGTCTAGTCTATAGTCTAGTCTAGTCTATAGTCTAGTCTAGTCTATAGTCTAGTCTAGTCCTAGTCTAGTCTATAGTTCTATAGTCTAGTCTATAGTCTAGTCTATAGTCTAGTCTAGTCTAGTCTAGTCTAGTCTATAGTCTAGTCTATAGTCTAGTCTATAGTCTAGTCTATAGTCTAGTCTATAGTCTAGTCTATAGTCTAGTCTATAGTCTAGTCTATAGTCTAGTCTATAGTCTAGTCTATAGTCTAGTCTATAGTCTAGTCTATAGTCTAGTCTAGTAGTCTAGTCTATAGTCTAGTCTATAGTCTAGTCTATAGTCTAGTCTATAGTCTAGTCTATAGTCTAGTCTATAGTCTATTCTAGTCTAGTCTATAGTATAGTCTTTAGTCGAGTCTAGTATATATTCTAGTCTATAGTCTAGTCTACAGTCTAGTCTATAGTCTATTCTAGTCTAGTCTATAGTCTAGTCTTTAGTCGAGTCTAGTATATATTCTAGTCTATAGTCTAGTCTACAGCCTAGTCTATAGTCTAGTCTATAGTCTAGTCTGTAGTCTAGTCTATAGTCTAGTCTATAGTCTAGTCTATAGTCTTGTCTACAGTCTTGTTTATAGTCCAGTCCATAGTCTGGTCTATAGTCTAGTCTATCATCTAGAGAAAATGAGTTTAGTACTTTAAAACCTATTATAAAATTTCAATTTTCCATGCCTGGTAGGTACTTACAATTTATTTTGTACACGATCTTCTCTATCATGTTGTATGGTTTATGTTATTGTTGTTATTTTTTCTCATTTCAGTTTCTGTTTTCTTATGGTCTTTCGTACTCTCGCTCTCTGTAGTAGGGTTTTGAGTTTGAAACCAATAGATTTTGAATTCAGTTCGTGTTTATGCTTCGTTGTTAAAGGTTTCGTGCTGGAAAAACTAAACGCATGCGTTTCTTTTTAAAAATAAATAAAAAAGATATTTATGAATTTATGTAAAATCTATAAACGGTATTCGTAACTTTAAGTGGTTAAAAAATTGAAAAAAGAGTTTCAAATCTTTTCAAAACAGCAAAACAAAATCTTATCAGAAAAAGTTCAATTACTGTGATTTTAAAGAAATAATTGGAATAAAAAATCTATATATTTTAAATAAAGAAATATTTAAAATAAATTAAAGTGAAATTTTTATAAAAAAAAATAAAAATCATTTTGTGCAAAAATGTTGTAAACAACAGAGAAAAAATTTATGTATTTTACTGTGAAAATGTTTATTGCAAAAAAATCTTTACAATTTTCTCATATCTTGGATTTATTTTATGATCTTTAAACAATTTTAAGCGGATTATATTAAATATTGAAGGTAAACAAAAACTTTTAAAACCGATCTATAACAAAGTTGCCAACAATAGCTTTAGACTTCATTGAATTTCTCACCTACTTTAAATCCGTTGGTTCCGGTTCTGGAGTTTTTTTGTGTTTTGTTTTAAAACAGACAAATAAATTTAAATTTTTTTTCTTTTTTGTGGCTTAAAAAACTAAGTTTTTGATTTTAATATGATTTTAATGAATTATACTAATACAGTTGCAAAAAAATTGTGTGTATATATAGAGAAATGTATGTAAATTATTTTGAATAGATTCCTATGAATAGATAAATATTGTGATCTTAATTAAGACAGTGGGTGAGAAGCGTGTCAGTGTTTTGCTAACATATGTTAAGTGTTTGACAATTGGCGCAAAATGTGGGTAGGGGATCGTGGAAAGTAATTTAAAAGAATTTGGAAAAAATCATACAAATTATGAGAGTTTCGTTTCTAATAAAATCATTGACGTTTTTAAAGTGGAGTTTCATAAAAAACTTCTAATTAGAAAATTATATTAACTTCAATTTTGGATCGTGCGATCTAGGGTCATAACCCGCTTTAAAAGTTCAGCTCAAAATAAGAAAATCTTGAATGGTGTGCTGATTCCGAAAATGAAAACAAAAAAGTCGTATCAACCAAAAATTTGCGAAATTTTTGATCCTTAAAACCTCGTGACTCTATACTTTTGCACCAAATATTCATTTCTGCAATTTTACAGAAATGGTAAATATTCATCGTCTCCGCCTCTAGACTTATTCTTTAAGATAAGTTAACTGACAATATTGCGAAACTTTATGGAAATCGTAGTGAAATATTATTTAGTTTTCAAAAGATTTGAATCAGACTCCTAACAGTATATGTACAACAGGATTCATATTTATAAAGACGTCGAAAAAGATTTATATTAACCCTCAAACGTAAATGAATTAATATATGAACTAAATATTTTATACTATAATCCGAAAAATTTCTGAAATTGTTCTCATTGATCGATTTCAATTATTTCAATAACGAATATTCCTCATCAAAAGATATTATTTTAAGAATATTTCATATCCCTTAAGCTTAAGTATACACAGTTGTCAGATCTTACATGGCTGGCATATCTGACAATGTGACAATAATGTACTAAAAATTGTTAGCAATAGGTAAATTGTCAGTTCAGACGATTGTAAGAAACCTTACAATTTCATTGCCAGACAATTGTCAGATAATATAAAATTTGTCACTTTACACTGTTGGCAGATTGTTGTATGACAAATGATACCAGATCTTATTTAGGCATATGTTCTTTTAATGTACCGTGTTGCCAATAGAAAACTCTTAACTCTGCATAAAATTAGCACATCGGACAATACAAATTGTCATACAATTATCTGGCAATGTTAACGTAATATGTTTACACGTTTCTTAGATGTCTGACTATATTATTGTTTTACAATAAACTGGCTATGCTTTTTCTGACAACGTTGTAAGATCTTACAACCGTGTATACATAGTTTTAGTCCTCTTCAACAGACATATGGACGGACATTTTGGCTCTTGGGCTTAAAACTAAGACTCGATCCACAAACAACACATGTTCTGATTTTGAATATATCAGAAGTTGAACTTTTTTGACTTCAGTTAGATCTAGGAAAAGTAAAATGATTTCCTCCCATGATCAGGAAAAAATTCACATTGTAAAGATCATAATCTTCAATTAAGTAAGATCATACACTTAAAATAAAAAAGTAGGCTGCTTCTGGTAGGTTAGTAATAATGTTCTAATCTATCAGGTCGTGGAAACAATTCCCACCAGAAACTCTGGAAGAGGAGCGCACAACCGTCCCGCTAGTGATCTAAGTTGATCTGATTATAGTGGGGAATGAAAATAACCTAATATAAGCGCCAAATAAGTGGGTTACGAACTTATTTGGTTGTAAACTTATTAGCATCGAACTTTATAACAAATCATATTTTGAAGGGGGCTTTGTATAGGGGCTAGCGTCAAATGAGGTCCTATAATTATAAAATTCATGAAGGTCTTCAAGACTAGTATAGAACTTGGTTCTGCAGCTTTTAGTCGGGATACGAGTATATTAAAGATAATTATGAACTTTAAAACCCTATTCGGCGGGTTCAGTTGTATGTGGTGCTAGGTGAAATGATGGATCGATGTTAATCATTTTCAATAGAAGATCAAGTGCCAAATTTCATTGAATTATCTTCAAAATTGCAACCTGTAGTTTGATTACAAGGTTTAGAAACCCTATTCTGGGATTCAGTTGTATGGGGGCTAAGTGAAATAATAGACCGATCTTAACCATTTTCGTCCCTTGGGCAATGGAAGATCATGTACCAAATTTCATTAAATTATCTTTAAAATTGCAACCTGCAGTGTGATTACAAGGTTTAAATGGACGGACAGACTCATCAAATGATTCTAAGCCGATTGGTATACTTTAAGGTGGGCATATGGTCCTATATCCAATCCCCACTAAAGTGGTGTATGGTATAAAAATAATCTCGAAATTTTATAGAATTATCTGAAAAATTCTACTAGAAGTTTGAATGCTAGTTTCAAATTCCTATACATACGGTCGGATTTGATATAGTCGACTCAGAATATGATCCCCACCATTGTGGTATAAATTGTGCGATTTTTGGTACAAAGTGGTAATCCAAAATAGTAAATTCAAAATCATCTTTTCGAGATCTGAATATGAAATTCTTTTAACAAAATTTTATTGACTATAGACTATAGTCTGGACTATAGAATAGACTGTAGTCTGGACTATAGAATAGACTATAGACTGTTGTCTGTATTACAGAATAGAATAGTCTACACCCTAGACTATAGAATAGACTGTAGTCTAAACTATAGAATGGACTGTAGTCTAGATTATAGAATATTCTGTAATCTGGACTATAGAATAGATTGGTTTTCAGAATAGACTTTAGTCTGGACAATTCTACAAACAGACTATAGTCTAGACTGTAGAATAGACTTTAGTCTGGACTATGGAATAGACTATAGTCTGTATTATAGAATAAACTATAGAGTGGACTATATCATAGACTATCATAGACTATATACCATAGTTTGGACTATTGCCTGGACTATGGAATAGATATAGGCTATGGTCTTAGCTTTTAATAGATTATAGTCTTGGCTACAGAATATACTATAGTCTAGACTCTAGAGTAGACTATAGTCTGCACTATAGAATAGACTATAGTCTAGACTCCAGACTATAGAGAAGACTGTAGTCTGAACTATAGAATGGACTGTAGTTTGGACTATGGAATAGACTGTAATCTGGACTATAGAATAGATTGTATATTGGTTTACAGAATAGACTTTAGTCTGGACTATGGAATAGACCAGATTTAGAGACCCCAAGAACACACAGTTCTAGTTCTTCCAGAGCCTGTTATATATCGGTTCATACTTGACTATAGCCTTCATTTAAATTAAGATTTCATAAATCGCTTCAAAATTCCCGATATTAGGATGCAATAGAATATGTTAGAGTTTGTTTTCTATAAAATATATTTTGCAATTGACTTCAGTTCTTGTTGGCAACAATTAGTTGTTACTACTAATAGTTTAAATAATTATTTCCAACTAAAACAGCAATTACTAAAGTAAATGTAGTAATTTAAACACCTCTACTAACTTCTAATTATTAATTTCATAATATAAAAGATAAATTTAATAGCTTAACACAATTATTCATAATTTATTTAATACTTCTATTGTTTATTTTCTTATACATATATTTACAGTATGATAATACTACACCTGCTAGATAAAACTAATTACAATAACAAAATGTTATTACAAATCTTAATATTTCTAATCACTTTGGTGAGTTTACACAATCCCACAGAGGGATTTCATCAACAGCACCATCATCAACAGCAGCAACAGCAACATCATCAGCAAATGATTAATTTAGAGGCTAATTATGAATTAATCGAAAATGATTCCCGTTACATTTCATATCAAGGTAAGTTATAAAATTTTATTTAAAATCACACACTCAATAATTCACGTAGTTAGTGATTAACGCAGATTTTATTTAAAGTCACAGCATGTAAATGGGAACATATTTTTTTCTTGTGTAGATAATGTGTTTTAAGCTTAGAGTGATTGTCCAAAATTAATTTTATTCGTACTTGAACTTTAGGCGGAAGATTATTTTCCATTTCGAAAGTTTGTCTTTTAACTCTATACACTACTTGAAGATCCGTTGAAATGAGATTAATTCTCATAAATTGTACTACGCACAATCTTGAGTTTTTTTATATTTTTTGAAATTTTTTTATTATTACATGCGTACGTTGTACGACTCGTGTACATGTTCGCATTTTTTTAAGTGTAAAATAAATAATTTAATCTGTAGTTAAAGCATTGCATGTGATAATGACAGATACTAAAAAAAACTAAAATCAACTTAATTTAATTGAATTATAGCTGTCTTTGATTAAGAAAAAATTATGTTGATTGGAACACAATTTAAATAACAAAAAACGCGGAAAAATTGTCATCTGTACTCTACTAGAGATTTCGAAAATTCTTTAAAGTTTTGAACATATACAATAGACTATCATCTGGACTATAGAATACTTAGACTATAGTCTGGACTACAAAATAGACTATCGTCTGGACTATAGAATAGACAATATTCTAGAATAGCATATAGTCTCTACTATAGAATAGACAATAGTCCAGACTATAGAATAGACTATAGTCTGGACTATAGAATAGACTATAGTCTGGACTATAGAATAGACTATAGTTTGGACTATAGATTAGACTATAGCCTGGACTATTGAATAGACTCTAGTCTGGACTATTGAATAGACTATAGTCTGGAGTACAGAATAGACTATAGTCTGGACTATAGAATAGACTATAGTCTGGACTATAGAATACATTATAGTCTGGACTATAGAATACATTATAGTCTGGACTATAGAATACATTATAGTCTGGACTATAGAATACATTATAGTCTGGACTATTGTCTAGAATGTAGAATAGACTACAGTCTGGGCTAGAGAATAGATTATAGTCTGGACTATAGAATAGATTATAGTCTGGACTATAGAATAGATTATAGTCTGGACTATAGAATAGATTATAGTCTGGACTATAGAATAGATTATAGTCTGGACTATAAAATATACCATAGTATGGACTATAGAATAAACTATAGTCTGGACTATAGAATAGATTATAGTCTGGACTGTAGAATAGATTATAGTCTAGACTATAGAGTAGATTATAGTCTGGACTATAGAATAGACTATAGTCTGGACTATAGAATAGACTATAGTCTGGACTATAGAATAGACTATAGTCTGGACTATAGAATAGACTATAGTCTGGACTATAGAATAGACTATAGTCTGCACTATAGAATAGACTATAGTCTGGACTATAGAATATATTATAGTCTGGACTATAGAATAGATTATAGTCTGGACTGGACTGGAATAGACTATAGTCTGGACTATAGAATAGACTATAGTCTGGACTATAGAATAGATTATAGTCTGGACTATAGAATAGATTATAGTCTGGACTATAGAGTAGATTATAGTCTGGACTATAGAGTAGATTATAGTCTGGACTATAGAGTAGATTATAGTCTGGACTATAGAGTAGATTATAGTCTGGACTATAGAGTAGATTATAGTTTGGACTATAGAATAGACCATAGTATGGACTATAGAATAGACTATAGTCTAGTCTATAGATTATAGTCTGGACTATAGAATAGATTATAGTCTGGACTATAGAGTAGATTATAGTCTGGACTATAGAGTAGATTATAGTCTGGACTATAGAGTAGATTATAGTCTGGACTATAGAATACATTATAGTCTGGACTATTGTCTAGAATGTAGAATAGACTACAGTCTGGGCTAGAGAATAGACTATAGTCTGGACTATAGAATAGATTATAGTCTGGACTATAGAATAGATTATAGTCTGGACTATAGAATAGATTATAGTCTGGACTATAGAATAGATTATAGTCTGGACTATAAAATATACCATAGTATGGACTATAGAATAAACTATAGTCTGGACTATAGAATAGATTATAGTCTGGACTGTAGAATAGATTATAGTCTAGACTATAGAGTAGATTATAGTCTGGACTATAGAATAGACTATAGTCTGGACTATAGAATAGACTATAGTCTGGACTATAGAATAGACTATAGTCTGGACTATAGAATAGACTATAGTCTGGACTATAGAATAGACTATAGTCTGGACTATAGAATAGACTATAGTCTGGACTATAGAATAGACTATAGTCTGCACTATAGAATAGACTATAGTCTGGACTATAGAATATATTATATTCTGGACTATAGAATAGATTATAGTCTGGACTATAGAAATGACCATAGTATGGACTATAGAATAGACTATAGTCTGGACTATAGAATAGACTATAGTCTGGACTATAGAATAGACTATAGTCTGGACTATAGAATAGACTATAGTCTGGACTATAGAATAGATTATAGTCTGGACTATAGAGTAGATTATAGTCTGGACTATAGAGTAGATTATAGTCTGGACTATAGAGTAGATTATAGTCTGGACTATAGAGTAGATTATAGTTTGGACTATAGAATAGACCATAGTATGGACTATAGAATAGACTATAGTCTAGTCTATAGATTATAGTCTGGACTATAGAATAGATTATAGTCTGGACTATAGAGTAGATTATAGTCTGGACTATAGAGTAGATTATAGTCTGGACTATAGAGTAGATTATAGTCTGGACTATAGAGTAGATTATAGTATGGACTGTAGAATAGACCATAGTATGGACTATAGAATAGACTATAGTCTGGACTATGGAATAGACTATACTCTGGACTGTAGAATAGATTATAGAATAAACTATAGAATAGACTATTAAAAATAGACTATAGTCTGGACTATAGAATATACTATAGTCTGGACTATAGAATATACTATAGTCTGGACTATAGAATATACTATAGTCTGGACTATAGAATAGACTATAGTCTAGACTATAGAATAGACTATAGTCTGGACTATCGAATAGACTATAGTCTGGACTATACAATAGACTATAATCTGGACTATAGAATAGACTATAATCTGGACTATGGAATAAACTATAGTCTAGACTATAGTCTGGACTATAGAATAAACTGCAGAATAGACTATAGTCTGGACTATAGAATAAACTGTAGAATAGACTATAGAACAGACTATAGAAAAGACTATAGAATAGACTATAGTTTGGACTATAGAATAGGATATAGACTGGACTATAGAATAGACTATTGTCTGGTCTATAGGATAGACTATAGTCTAGACTATGGAATAGACTATAGTCTGGACTATGGAATAGACTATTGTCTGGACTGTAGAATAGACTATAGTCTGGACTATAAAATAGACTATAATCTGGACTATACAATAGACTATAATCTGGACTATAGAATAGACTATAGTCTGGGCTATAGAATAGACTATAGTCTGGGCTATAGAATAGACTATAGTCTGGGCTATAGAATAGAATGTAGTCTGGACCATAGAATAGACTATAGAATAGACTATAGTCAGGACTAACGAATGGACTAAAGTCTGGACTGTAGGATATGTTATAGTTTGGAGTATGGAGCAGACTAATGTGTAAACTACAGAGTTGACTATAGTCTGTAGAATAGTTTTTAGATCAGTTGCATAATGACACAAAATTTAAGTTAAAAACCTAATTGTTACTGGGAGGCAACTTTTGCAAATCTTATCATTATATCTATTATACTGAAATTAACCATGTAAAACATAAAATTTAATTCCACATAACTAGCCAATAAAACAAGAAGTAATGATGTCTGCGGTAGGTCTTCTACCTAAATAGGTTATATTCAAATTTGACTACGGATTTAGCAAGCGTAACATGTAAATACTACGACTATATACTCATATTACTTAACTTATATTTCGCTTAAGCATAATAAAAACTTTAAAAATGATCCAATATTTTATTTGATTTTCATGTTAACAGACAAATAGTAAATGTTACATCGTTATTTCTGCTTGAAAGATTTTAGTATTTTATAATTTTTTGTATAAAATCCCCTGTTATTATATTTTTTCTTCTCGTTAATCTCTTTTCGTTTTCAGTTTAATGATGTAATTTTAATTTTATTTTATCTGTGTTTAAATTATAAATGTTTTTTTATTTATTTAATGTGAATTTAATATTTATTTTGCACTTGTTTATAAAGTGAGAATATTTTTGTTAAACATTATTTTTATAAAATGCTGATTTTAGCATTTTAGGTTTTAATGTTGTTTTAAGGGGTTTCTCTTAAATTTCCTGGTTTTTGTATATGTTTGAGTGTATAACTTTAGGTTTAAGATCGTTTTACAAAAAATTTTTAAATATTTTGTTGATTTAGCAAATTGTTGTTTTTGTTATTTTTATGATGTTTAAACAAAAATTTAACGCAAGACAAGCCTTTATTTGTAATTAAAGTCTGTGTTTAAATAAAATTGGTTTGAAAGTTTAGATTTGAAACTGAGATATTCTTAAATAATTTTATGAGTTAGTTTATTAAATATATTAAAAATAACTGTGAAATATTTATAGGTTTTCTTTAAATTATATTTGCTTTAAAACTTATTTTGTTTTTTTTTTAACTTTTTACAGATCTTATGACTACAGCCAAACGATTTGTGGACTCAGATATAACAACATATTCTGAATTATTATTCGATGTGGGAAGAAATCAAATGATCGTGGGAGCAAGGTAAGAAAATGAAAACATATATAAATAAAAAAAATTTTATAAAATCTGGAGTATAATCTATAGTTTGGACTGTAAAATAGACTCCTGTCCGGACTTTATAATAGACTTTAGTCTGGACTATAGAATAGACTGTAGTCTGTACTAAAGAATAGACTATAGTCTGGACTATTGAATATACTGCAGTCTGGACTATAGCAATGACTACAGTCTGGACTATATAATAGTTTACAGTCTCAACTACAGAATCGACTTAAATCTGTGCCATATAAAAGAACTGAACTAAAGAATATATTATAGTCTATACTATAGAAATCACTATCATCTGGACTATAGAATAGACTTTAGTCTGGACTATAGAATAGACTATAATCTGGACTATAGGATAAACTATATTCCGGACTATAGAATACTCTGACTATAGAATGGACTATGGTCTAGACTATAGAATAGACTGGACTATAGAATAGACCATAGTCTGGACTATAGAATAGACCATAATCTGGACTATAGAATAGACCATAGTCTGGACTATAGAATAGACTATAGTCTGGACTATAGTCTGGACTATAGAATCGACTTAAATCTGTACCATAGAATAGACCTTAAATAAAGAATCGATTATAGTCTATACTATAGGACTAGTTTGGACTATAGAATAGACTATAGTCCGGACTATAGAATAGACTATAGTGTGGACTATAGAATAGACTATAGTGCGGACTATAGAATAGACTATAGTCTGGACTATAGAATAGACTATAGTCTGGACAATAGAATAGACTATAGTCTGGACTATAGAATAGACTATAGTCTGGACTATAGAATAGACTATAGTATGGACTATAGAATAGACTATAGTATGGACTATAGAATAGACTATAGTCTGGGCTATTGAATAGACTATAGTCTGGACTATACAATAGACTATAGTCTGGACTATAGAATAGAATATAGTCTGGACTATAGAATAGACTATAGACTGCAATATAGAATAGACTATAGTCTGCACTATAGAATAGACTATAGTCTGGACAACAGAACAAACTATAGTCTGCACTATAGAATAGACTATAGTCTGGACTTTAGAACAGACTGTAGTCTGGACTATAGAATATACTATAATCTGGACTATAGAACAGACTGTAGTCTGGACTATAGAATAGTCTATAGTCTGGACTATAGAATAGTCTATAGTCTGGACTATAGAATAGTCTATAGTCTGGACTATAGAATAGTCAATGGTCTGGACTATAGAATAGACTATAATCTGGACTATGGAATAGACTATAGTCTTTACTATAGAATAGACTTGACTATAGAATAGACTATAGTCTGGACTATATAATAAATTATAGTCTGGACTTTAGAATAGACTATAGTCTGGACTTTAGAATGAACTATAGTTTGGACTATTGCTTAGGCTATAACAGCATATACAGAATTATTATTCCCTCTGGCTAGAAATCAAATGATCTTCGGATCAAGTTAAGAAGTAAGATCTTAATTTAAACAAAAACTTGATTAAAAATCAACACAAATCTTAAAAAATCAATGAATTGAAACTCTCTACAAATATCAAACCAGTTACAAAACAAAAAACTGACTTCTTGATATTTATGATTGAATGACTGACTGACATTTGATAGCAGTGCGTAGACTATAAACTCTAAACAACTAATATAAAAAGAATAAGAAATGAGGAAAATAAAGACAACGATGTCTTATCAGCAAAACAAGTGTCAGTTGATTTTGTAGTCTTTTATAGGTTTTGCTGTAAAAGTTTTTGTAAAAAAGAAAACATTTTGTTTTTAGAAAAAAAAACTATTGTAAATTTCAGTGAAGGTAAAATTCGTTACTTTTTTATTTTCTCCTTAACATTTATAATCTTATCTTTAACACTTTGCAACATAATTTGATAAAAATGGAAAATTAGGTTACTTATGCTGTTGGTGTTTTGTTTTAGCCAATAAAATGTTAAATTTGAACAAATATAATTTTGTTCCAATAGACATAATTTGTTGTATATAATCCCCCTTTTCTTATTGCGTTAAACAAATTATGTTTATAACTCGTACACATTATCAATATGGAAAATATTGTTACGAAATTTTCAGTTTTTTTTTTTGGTAATCAGTTTTTTTGTTTTGTGTAGATGGCAAAAGTAATAATCATTTTATTAGATAATAGAATAGTATTTGTTTATATAAAACTAAATACATATAATAGTATTTTTTACCATTTATTTATTTTGAAATTTATATACATATATATACATACGTACCTCTATCGCCCTATACGATTTTCTGTTATTAAAGACAAATATGATTTATTTGCTTTGTCGTACTATATTCGTATTTTAAAGACGATAAGAATATAATGTAAACTATCCATTATGTCTGAGTTGTACCATTTTCTATAACGTAAAGTCTAGGGTAAAAAAAGAAATAATCAATTTGTAATAGAGAGTGAAAGAAATTTAATAATTTATGCGTAATCTTAAGGGGGATTACACGATTGTTAAACAAGACTTTGTTTTGAAAAATAAGAAAAAAATATTAAATAAAAAAGTTGGAAAAATATGTGGGGAAAACACCAAGTCTAATCAGTTGTTTAATAATACAAATGAAGAGCTGCATAAGCTATTTGAAATCGATATTTGGGGTGTTCAAAATTATTAATCCCTAGCTTTGGTAATAATGGTTTTAGCAAGAGTACTGCTATGAGTATACGTACGCATACACATTCGTTCATTAACTATAGTGGTTCGTAACTATAGTCGTTAACTTTTAGTTCTAACAACTCCCGATAGTAAGACCAGGTATCGCCAGAGATTGACTAATGAGCTCTCTGACTGACTGTGTTTGTTTTATATACTTAAACTTAAGTATCTCTATAAGAATTAGATAAAGGGCGCTCTTTGTCTATCACTGGTTTTAGGCCCATAAAGAAACTATACAAATCTATAGCTTTAATTGCTAATTATACTAATAGTAGGCGATCTTTTAAAATCTGTGATCACGTTTAACGTACATATATATATTACATGAAATCCAAGGAAATACATCTATGTTTCCACTGGACCTATTGAGCGCAGTGGTGAGAATCGAATCGTCATCCACCTGTCTGTCAAATTAGAACACTAACGGTTAAAATACTGGAGGCACAGAACCGTTAGTGATACCTCTAGTTTGCAAATGGGCTTAGTTCAAAGATAACTGAGTCTGCTCTCTAGTTAAGCCTCTTCATCGTCTAAACAACATGAAGACAATCGCCTATCTCTCACATGAGAGAACATTGACTCTCTTGGTTCTTAATAGTAATTCGTTTAGACTTCGTATATGAACACTATATGTTTATAGGTTAGGTTACGTAGTAACGCTAGTAAGCGAGTTCACTTGGAGGCCTTGTGGCCCATTGTGATACCCTTATGTTTATACAAGGTCCCAACGAAATCACATTAAGATCCAAATTTCAATGTCATTTCTTGTGAGAGACAGGAATAGATATTTTTGGATATTCTGCACGGCCTTAGTTCTATTTCTTGTCGGCCATTTGTCGATCATATACGACATAACGAACAGAGCAGTATGAATTTCCTTTTGAGTAACAGTTTGATCCAAGAACGATCCATTTACTGCGCATTTGTTGGCGATTTCATTACCTTGACTGTCCTTAAACAAACTGTACATGGTCGACGTCTTGAGGTTTAGTTCTAATGAATTTCCTAAAAAAGTCAAGAGAGACCCAATGTCCGGCAATTGTTGCCGATTTCATGACCTTGACTGTCCTCATGCATTTGAATCCATATAAACTCCGCAAAGTTTCTTCTGAGTTGAGACCAAAAGACATTTCGAACTTATTATGTTGGAGTTATTCGACTTAATTGATGCAAGACTGTACATGGTCGATGTCATGAGATTTAGTTCTAACGAATTTCTTTAAAATGTCAAGAGAACCAATGTCCATTCTTGTAAGAGACGGAGACAGTTCGTTTTGCCAAAAAGTCATAGCTGATGACCTGTGTTCAATTTCTTCTTGCACATTCGTCTAACAAGTCCAAGAACTATACATTAATTGAGCATTTGTGGACGATTTCACTTCCTTATGATCTTATTAGCTCCTCAAAGTTTTGTCTGAGTTGGGACAAGAAGACATATTGATTTTATTATGTTGGAGCTAAGAGTCTAGATCGATTAAAGACTGTTCATGTTGATATCATTACTCGGATGCATATAGCGACCATATTGGAGTTGTAAATTTCAGATCATCCGAGAAAATTCCTGAATCCAGTATCCATAACAGTTTCTGTGACATCACTATAGGCTAAGATCGGGTGGACCTGAAGTACAAGCAGCACAGTTTCAATGCTTGTGTAGTCTTTTACCGACTGCCGCTTTATCGACAATGCGATCACATCTAAATAGGCAAGACTCTATGATTCTTAGAGACAATTTAACAGAAATCCATAATTTCTTTCTGCGACTTATCTTGAGGGAATAGAAGGCACATAGCATCTTATCCATTTTAATCTCAACATTACTCTCCATGAGAGCTTAAAGTCCAAATTACGCCAAGGATTTAACATATTTGAACAAAGTGAAACCTATTTCCTTAAAATACTGCAGGACTAAATCATTTATTAAGTTCTCTTTATAACCAGAGTAAAAAACTAAACTTAGTAGTTAATTGCCCACCAAAAATTTTGTGTGGGAATATGATAACAAGTCGATCCCACACAATACCTACTCAACCAAAAGGCGTATCACAAAAAACCTAATTCCATTTAAATGATATGCAATACCTTATTAATGGAAAAAAATATTAATGACATTTTTTTTGGCTATTAATAAAATAATTAAGTTTTTTTTCTTTCCATAAAAGCAATTATGGAACATTTAATCAAAAACCAAAAGGCGTTACATTCAAATACATACAAAGAAATTCAGAAACTTTTTAAAAACAATTAGAAATTTTTTAAAATTAATCAAGCGCGTAACAGT